CGTTTGTACAAAATTGCGTGTATTTAATATGTTTTTAACATTTACATTTTGTTAATATTTATTAGCATTTACAATATGTATATAATAATATTCGCAGAAAAGGATTCGCAGAAATTTGAAAATTATATACGAAAATGTCACAAATGGAAATAAATTTTAACTCGAAATATTATCGATCTCCATTTTCTAAATGCAACTTTATTGCACTAAAGTTATTAACAAGCGGAAATAGCGCTGATATTCTTAACTATTGGAAATCGTGTATGTGCGCGTCTGTGTTCGATATTCCAAAAATATCCTTCAGAATACGTAATTGTTCGGATTATCCTCTCTGGGATTTAAAATCGGTTCGAGATTAAGAGTTGTAATAAAACTCAGACAACACCGTGTCCTCATTTTGGATATATGTGCTGTCTGGGAAATAAGTTTTCATTAGGACTGGTTAATGGCAAATTAAGAAAACCAGTTTCTTCTTACATCTGAGAGGAGGTTTATCTTCAATGTGTATATGTGTTTGTCTAACAGCGAGCAGTGTCCCGCCAGTCTCGCATGTTCCAACGCGCAATCGCGCGCATCCTCGTGTCCTCGTCCTTATCATCGACGCATTTTTATATAGGTTGCATCCGCCCCGCGAAAGGCGCTTGAACCCAGTGACGGGGCGAACGACCTTTAATCCTGTCTTTCTCTCGCGAGGTCCCCTCCCCCCTCCCATGTATACATGAACACTCCGTGGAGCGTTTTCTTTGACGTCAGAGGGCAATCATGCAACGTCGTAAAGCGAACATAGAACCCTACAGTCGAAAAGCTCTGGATGGTTCCGTCGTAAATTCGCACTCCCACCCGATTGATTAGTTGTCCTGATTCCATGAGAGATAAGTTGAAAGGAATTAATAGAAAGGTACCGATAGAAATCTTGTGGAAATAGATGGATTAAAGGGAATTAAAGAAAATTCATTCCTGTGAGATCATACAAGTTGAACGTCCGGAATCAAATATGACATTCTTTGACTTATAACTTTCTATGCATTATTATACGTATCACCTCGATTATCATTAAGCTCAATGTAGCTAAAAAAGAATTGAAAATAACTTTACTTAATTATAAAAATAGAAATATATATATATAGATCGAAGAATAAAAGTGGAAGAAAAGAATTTAATAAATAGAAAGAAGTCTTTCATTTCAAAATTTAGAATTCGTAATTCTAAATTTTGAAGTAGAAGATTAAATTTTTATTGACATCTTTTTATTCAACTATTTTCAGAAAATATCGAAACTTTGTGCATATTCCAGAATAGATTTATATTAAAAATTCTCTACTTTTTCTAAAAAAAAAAAACAAAAAAATCTATTTCTAAGATTATACATCAACCATGTTCGAAAATATAGATGTCTTTTCACAAACGAATTTGTTAGATTGAAAATGATTAAGATATAGTGTCGCTGCAACCGGTGCCCCGATCACTACGTACACCGATACATGTGGAACGTTGTCCGTACGATGATATATAAATAGGTTGGACGGCATGAAAATAGACATCGGGGCGTTGGACCGGAGGATCGATGACGATACTCGTCCCCGGTGGCGGCTTGCCCGGCTTTATTTTTCGTCAAGTAACCGCATTACGCGACTTGGTCGAGACAGCACGTCTGCGTGAGAAGGCGCCTAACATCAACTTACATTATCTTTTGATGTATATTTATATCTCAGTTCTATACGACATCATAAATTTAACTTTTTTAATTCTGATATTTAAAACATTGAATATATATAACTTTTTTTATGTTCTTATTTTTAGCGCGTAAACGTATTATTTTACAATTGCTCGGTATCATTTTCCTCTACAAATATATTCTGATGTACACAATATTTAATTCATTTCACGAAATTCTGATTTATTACAAATAAAAGAGATAACATCTGTTTGATAGTTGCTCTTTTATTTGATTATTACATATAATTTTTGTTTTATAATATAAGAACAATAATAGAATTATTATATTTATTTTTTATAACAAATGTAAATTATTGAATACTTTTTTTTTAATCTTTTCTACAATTTTTTTTTACAATATTTAAAATTATTTTTTCTATAATTCACATTATTTTATGTAATAGGATTTTTTTAAAATTACTATTTCGTCTGTTTTCTATTAAGAATTGAATAAAGTTTTTATAACAAGAATAAACATCCTTTTTTTAAATTTTAATATCAAAAATGATTTTTTATTAAAATAAAAATAAATGTTAAAAATGAAAATATCATTTTGTTTTGTCGTAAGTTTTAATACAGACTTTTTAATTAATGATTTCATTAATTTTACTAATTTATTAATTCAATCAGATATTAATAAATATAATAAAAGTAACGGAATGGTAAGAGCAAATATAGAGATTCGAATTGTTGAATAATTTTATTGTTTTTCCGATGCTCGCAAATGTTACGCGTGCATTAGTTGTTGACTTTTGAGTTGGACCAATCGATTAAATCTCTCATCGTGTGTTGTTATGTTACGATGCGTTTAAACATACCTGCATACTGTATATGTACTTGATGTCCGCTTTGCGGAGATAGCGTCCTGTCAAGTATCCAGTCGGTTCGGCGCTTGTCAAAACAAGCCGCTGAGAATACTCGCCACGTGGATGGAAATAGCGGCACGCCGGTCCAAAATACGTGCGCATCGGAAGGAATATGATGGAACGCGGGTGCATGTCGAGATGTTCGTTTGATGCACGTACGCCAGTGGTGTAATTAATGGCCTCGAACACCCATAATGCATGGCGTTGCCAGTGAAATTAAAAACTAGAGAAGAGACAAGTAAAAGGAAAAGAAAAAATAAAGAAAGAGGGAAAAGAAGAAAACAGGGATAAGAAATAGAAGGAAAGAAAAAAGAAGTAAAGAAGGATATTAAACTTGTTATCAACGATTTTATCGACAACAAATGATTATGAAAAAAATGAATATTCTACACTGAGAGAAAAATGTTTGGTATTTGTAACTATAATTATAGTCATTTTAGGTTGCCAACTATACACATTTGTTGCTAGAACTATATATAGTTACTTATTATTATTATAGCAGTAATAATCATAATTATAGTAATATGTAATTATAGTTACAAATACCAAACATTTTTCTCTTAGTGTACGTTTTTTCTTTCATATCAAATTATTATAATTGTCTCGATTAACACCGTAATAATGAACTTGTATGTTCACAAATGTTGAATTTTACACATATTCATACATTTGAAAACTATATATTGGAATACATAATATGTATAATGAAGAAACGGGAAAGTGGGCCGAGGATATGTCACAGCTTGTGAGTCGCTCAGTAAAGATTAAATAAGTAAAGGTCTTAAAATATTCTTTGGAGTATTACGTACTCGTGTGTCAACGAATATCAGAACACTTCGCATCGCAGACGATGAATTTATCTTGGCACTCTTGGGATCGAGTAAATGACATCTAGGTGTTCCCATCAAACGTCATAAGAACGACAAACAGATATATTTGATGAGAAGTTGGAGATGTAGCGTCAATTAAAGATAAGACGATGTACTTATAATATCAAGGTAAAATCAGTGTCATAGAAAGAAGGGAATTAAAAAATTAAAAATTGTAATATATTCAGAAATTTGAGAAATGTAATATCTATATTAAATAAATGAGAGTATATTATGAAGAAAATAATATTCCAAGAATATTTTGCAGATTTTAATTAGTCGGTTAATATTAAATTGCGTTAAAAGAGTTAAAAATTTAATTTTTAATCATCCGATATATTTTTACTTTCTGAATATGTTCTCAGATAACCGATTTATTATTTATTGTAAATATATTATTTTTACGTTCTTTTAAATTCTTTTAAAAACTTCCGAGAAATATATCAATTTAAACATTAAATAGAGGATTAAATAGAGGATTAAAAAGTTTTACAATTTTAAACGAACAAAAGGGATATATAATTTTAATTTGAGAAGATCATGAAATATACATGTATAATACATGAAGATCTCATTAAATATTATCAAAATTATCTAAATTATGTATTATCAAAATTATGTTGTTCTAGAACAAAGGTATATGCTTCTCTTCTCTACATTGAAGGAAGTTTCAAGTGTTCTTGAGATTCACGAAATAATTAGACTGCCTCTTGCAAGGTTCACCTTTGCCTCGGCTATTCGCGTGCACGTCCAAAAAAAAAGAGGAAATTTCACGTGCTGTTACCCTGACATCAAGGTCGAGCTGGTTTGAATTTCTACATAATTAAAGTTGACTAATGACCTTGCTAATGGTGCGCATGCTTAATTTCTCGATATAAATGCAAATATCTAATGACGCAATATTCTGCTTGACATTATGTAACATTATTAGTAATTTCCATGATCTAGAAATGTGTACATCTGTCGATCTTTCCGTCAATTATTATATGATGAGGCTAAAAGTATCGTAGTAAAAAATACAATGTACATAACAACGCCTGTTACATCGTGCATCTATTCGCTTTGATAGGGTGATTCCGGGGAACGAGAGGCAGGGTGATTCGCTTTCAGTTGGCCCGGGTATCCAGGGTTCGTCGTCATAGCGACACCCGAGCCATGGCTAACCACCCCATTCTATACTATAGTCTGATGTAGACCGCGTAGGTTGAAAAATCTGAACGACGCGCCCTAATTAATCCGCTGATGCACAATTCAATTTGCACTCTCGCTAAAAGTTACACAAGACATACTCTAGATAATGGATTTACGTATAGACAAAGTAGATAATTACGTTGATGTCAAGCTTCTCGATAACGAAATCAAGTTGAACGAAAAAGAATCTTAATCTGACAGATAGATTTAAACAGGATTAATGTAAATGCTAATAATGAACTATAATAAAAATTAATTATTTTAATTTAAGAATAAGTAAAGTATATATAATTATATATATTAAAATAAGAGTCATGAGGGGAGGGGGGGGGGAGTCAAATTAATAACACTTTTTGTATCAATTTTATGCAATTTCAAGATTTATTTCAATATATACAAAACATTGCTTCGTATTAATGGAGGCTATGCACGCCGGCTTCCTTCCTCCACTCGTTTATCTTATCACTCAGTCAATTCGGACAATACGGAGGACTAGTAATGAGATAATAACGATTGTCCGAATATTGTAGAGTAACGACGTCATAATATTCGCGCGTATATACTTCCACATTCAACGTATAAATATATAGAAACACGCATTCGCATGGATTCCGATTAACGCGTTCTTTACGCCGATCTTTACGAGTACACAATTCATCCAGATAATGATCCACTTGCGGGATATTCTAGAGAGAGATCCGTGCACAAGTCTCACGTTGCGATTTATTTACTAGTGATTTTATGTCTGTGGAAAATCACGTGCGTCGAAAGCGAATGAAAATAAACCGGCGCTACTTTTTTCCTCAATATATTGGGAGCTTTTCTAATTCAGTCTTATAATTTTATGTTCGCGTTATTCGGGTATTCGTAAAATGTAAATCAATTCTATCGATTTATCGTACGATCGCACGTGAGAATAGAAATTGATATCATTATAATACATCATTGTAATACAATTATAATAGGAAGAAAGTATTACATTAATCTCTGATTATGACACGAATTAACGTGTGAATTAAAATACTCAATCGCAACAAAGAAGTGATGAATTTGGCAACCGATTTGTCGCGAAACGTCCATTTTATATTGTTATTTGTATTTTATGTTGTTATTCGTAAGTGTTTTAATGCAAGATCGTTAGCGAAAGATTATTACAATTGTTGGAATCGCAACGTGCATGCAATATTACGCTACACCTATATCACCGTTACGAAATGGCGTAACTAATTGTACAAACGGAACCTCTATGCGTTACACCATAAACTGCTACAAGAATATATGTGTACTATATTTGCCTACGTATATACGTACACACGCATATTTATATATACATGTCTAGCACGAATATATACCTGGCTATGTAAATGTATCTACATTTGTGTGATTTACATCTTGTTGATACTTCTGATAACAATCCATCTCGCGTTATGATCCCTATTCGCATCTTTCGGCTACAGTAGATTCTTAAATGTTTGCATTTTTTTTCGACGAATTATTGAATTTATATTGTGATAAAAATGTGAAAAGATACAGATTTCTCAATTTACATAGCAATTAAAATCGTTCTTCATTTATTATGGAATAAGAATAGATTGTTTCCGCGAAAATGTTTCCATGAAGTTACTCTAAGTTTGGAGTTATGATCTCCAATTCTAGGAATCCCTGGATTATACAGTCTTCTTGTTTCCTTATTTCTTGCCTAACAATCGAGATTATATCACTAACGATAAGTAATATAAACAGAATGGGATTTCAGATCTGAATGATATACAAAATAACTTTAAATGACTGTCTGACCTCGCGCTTAATTGCGCATAAGGCATTACTAAGACCATCGGTTTTTTACCAGAACAACTGACTAATGCAAAAATCATATGCACCGGTATTATTGTCTCTATAGTTACATCAAGCTAATTCAGAGCTTACCACCATTCTTTTGGTCGCATATTCTTTTACGTTATCTCTTTCTTTTTTATTTAGATATTTATATATCACATTTATACTTAATTGCTAGAGCATTTTATGATTAAGAGACATTTTATTTCTGTTTTGAATTCCCAAAGCAACATAAAATTCTAAACAGAGGGATAACGTCTATGAGACCAAAATGTTTAAATATCTTCATGACATCTTTTGTGTATTAATTTTTGTTGTATTAATTGCGATTATACCATTTTCAACACCAATCTATACAAATATCATTGTCTCTCGAATTTATCTGCAATCTTCATTCTTACTAATTAAACAAGTTCAATAATTGGTCCGCTTGTGATTAGCTTTTCGACACTTTGGAAACATCGCAGAAACAGGATCATGTTCCGCTTTTTTCGCGTAGCACTCGAATGAGTTCCGGAAAGTGTCTCTCGGCTAGGTAGCTCTAGCTGATTATTTGGCACATCTGTACGAGGTCGGCATATAGAAGCTGCCCATTCGGAACTTACTCGGTTCCTCCTGAGTGATCCGAAGGCACGGCTCGCTGCAAGTTCTCACTATCTCTCACATGTCCTCTGTACTGAAGCTGCTGATCAGACCGGGTTCTGTGTCTATGTTAGAATCACATTGCATTACCCATTCCCATATCCTCTTAGTGACGACTTTCTGGTCCACCGTAGTCTCCAGGCCGTAACTATTAAGTAGCTTTCTTAACTTATTCTTGTTTTCATCTACGTTATGCCGATCGTCCAGAATAGTATCTAGATAGAGTAGGCTATCGCCTCGCCTGGCAAGGCTCTCGCTAACATCGACGGACGTCGACGTCGCACTGTGGCTGATCTTACTGATACACCACGAATCCTTTAGATATTTGTTGATCTCGGTCACGTGAGGCCTCTTCTCCGGCTTGTGTTCGAATGCTCGCCTGAAGTATCGAAGTAGCCTAGGAGTGAAGCGACGGAAAGTCGGTGGGATTTTGGTGGTACGTCTCTTCAGCCATCGTTGGAAGGCCGAATAGTCTGGATCTTGGATCGGGTCGGCGCTCTGCCATGGTGGGTTACCGGTCAGACAAACGAAAAGGACAATGCCAAACTGCCAGCAGTCTGAGCTTCTCTTGCAAGCATACCTTTCGTTCTTGATGATCTCGTGAATCTCGGGAGGTTGGAACGGCACCCAGGTACAACGGATCTTATTCACAAGGGTGCCCTCGCGCTTTGTGCAGCCAAAGTCGCATAGCTTCACTTTGCTCATGTCCTGCGCGAACACTAGCACGTTCTCCAGTTTGATGTCACGATGGGCCAGTTGTTTTGAATGGATAAAATCGAGGGCCGAGGCGAGTTGACCAGCAATTTTCTTACAGGCATCCTCGTTGAGCCCGCCGGCTTTCACATTGCCAGCGAGATCGCCGTAGGGCGCATACTCCTGCGCAAAGACGAAACATTTCTCCGCCTTAAAGGCGACTGCGTACGAGCAGAGTATATTAGGATGCGGGCTTAAGTGGTACGAGTAATGGAATTCCCGGAAGAAGTCCTTCTCGGACGTGAGTTCTTGATGAACCGCTTTTAGGACTACTCTTGTCTGAGTGGTCCTGTGCGTTGCCAGTAGGACTTTCGCGAAACTACCTTCGCCTAGAGTTTTCTCCACATTGTACTCCTTTGATAAGTCCAGTTCCTCGAGGGGCACCTCTTGGATTCTGTGGATACCTGATTCTTTCTTCTCGTGCAGCTTCATCTGGAACAAAAAAAGAATACAGGGTTTTTAAAATTGAATATAATAGTACGATTAGATTAAAGAGAATTATTTTATTTTAATTTAAATCATTTTAAATTATTTTTCTTTTTAGACATCTTAATATATTATCGTATTATTATTTCAATTTATTTTATTCTATTTTCATCGTTATTGTAACAAAGGCTAACTTTTTAATCCTTGCTATTTTCAGTTTATATAGGCGTAACGTATTTGTCCTTGCCATTTTCGTTTTGTATAGACCGCCTCTTCATCGAGACCGGAAATTAGAATTTCATCTGTCCATATTGAAGGACTTCAACATTGATTTTATACTCGGATAACTCTGTATCAAAGGAATATTATCTTCGTCTGTCATAGGGACAATGGACTTCACATACGACGCCTACAATCGTCAACGCGACAAACGTATGATCGTATTGAGGGACGTTCCCACGCTTCCTTCCGCAAAAAGATAATATTCGCTCTTCTCCAATCGTGCAACGCGCGTTCTAGTTCATAAATAGCAACGCGTAGATCAATCGCGGTTCTATGATATATCGAGAACACGTGTGATATTGTGGGCCGCGAGGTAGAAGCTGTCTGAAGAAAGATTGTCCCGATGACGTAACCATTCTTTAAATGAAAATGTATATCTTTTTCCATAAAATCTTTTTTTTTTTTGAAAAAAAAAATTACGTAAAAGATCTGAGTATTTTTACTGATCATACTTGAATAAAGAAAACATATATAACATAATAATAAAGTCTTATTTTTTAAAATAAAAAGTAAAAGTTACTTTACATATTTAATTGTTATTCTAATTTGAAAGTTAATATCTAGAACTATGTTACTCCGTTTGAAATTTATGAGGAAAGCTGATGTATGATTTAACTTTGACATGGAAAATTCGATTAAACAGATTCAAAGAATTCATAGATGAAAGCAAGTACTGAGAATTTATTTTATGTAGTTATGTTATACAACATGTGTACAACGAAAATCATGTATTTTCACCGATAAAATGCACAAACTAGAATTCATCGGAATCCATTTATAGTTATTGCATAATAGCAACATTAAGCAGACATTGATCTAGCTAACGATATTCCATGTGGTTTTGAGTGCCATTTCTCTTCCATCCGCGTGATTTCGCACGTGCGTCATTAAATATAACACACTATTCCATTTACACGAGATAGCAGATGCGCCACGATGCATCTGCTATCGCTATAAATGGAATAGTGTGTTATATTCTGGCTCGATTTTATGATCACGCATCTTGAGAATCGATAATTTTGTTGATAGAGCGCGGCAAGAAGAGTTTTTGGAACATCGTCACTGGAGATAACAATCCTTGCTCTCTTCGCGTGCATCGTGGTACTTTTTCTTTGCCGTTTTCGTTGAAAAGAACTGTACTCTCGTGGTGCAGCGGAAAGCCTGAGAGTCGGGCCGGAAGGTGGCCGGGTGAACCCAGGACATTTAGACCCTCGCTAGATCAATAGCGAGAACCGTTCACGCTTTGGTCGACGACGCGTGAGTCTGATCGGCGCCGAATCCCAAAACTTTCCAAGCTTGCACGCGATTTTCGTTTTCGCGAGACAGTTATGCATTCGTTGATTTGTCGTCCAATTTCATCGCATTTGTAACGAGAAATAAGAAAACAGAGTTAAATGTATCATAAAATAGACCGCGAATGGTAAAAGATAGGTATACACATATAGATGGCAGATCGATAGAGCTTCCTTTATTTTGGGCGAATCAAGGATAATTTGAAATGTTATATATTTAGTTTACATTCAAATGAATTGAATTTAAATGAATTGAAAGCCAGCTAGACAGAGATAGAAAGTACAATAAATTGTTAATCGTTATCTTACGTCACTTTACATACATAATCAGTTCTTAAAAATACAAAAATTAATATTTGTGAATTTTGGGTTACTTACATTTATATTATTTATTGCTTAAGTTTGTATAGTATTATATATTGTTATTTAATTTAATATGTAACGATAATGAAGGTAAACATATTCGTATTTAAAAAAAAGATTTAAAGGCTAATGAGGTAGAAATTGTTCTATGTTCTCAGTAATTTCGAAAGATCATCTTTTATCGAACTACAACACATATATCATTAAGAGACCCTTAAATCACATGAAAATAAACATCGTTCATTTAACGATGAACATTTATCTATTTTGGATCGTTCCATAAATTTCTGGAGATCCGAGACACAGCGTAAATGTCATCATGTGACGAAACGAATGCAGTATGACGCGACAGACTTGTGGATGGCGTGATCATGTATATTTTAATAACGCGATGTATTATACTGGACGAAGTTACATATTGAGAACCTTTCCATTTCAATTATTAACGAGATGTACAATATTACATGTCTCGTAGAATATGTGTATTTACTGTACAACCATTGTAAAAACGTCGCTCATCTTTGAATTTACTTTTTGTAATGTAATGACTTTAATTTTGACAAATTGAAGATAACAATGATGTCTCCCGTTTTTCTAATTTCTGTTCATTGTTTTGTGTCACGGTTATTTTTTCACATAACCACCGGTTCGGACCGGTTAATTCTGACAAGCCTCAGAGGCACAGATATATTTAGCATTTATGTTTACTGAGCACTCTATTTTAATACACGCGAGTTAGTAGCGTTATACTTTTGTGTGCGTGCGTGCGTGCGTGCGTGCATACTGTGTGTTTAATGAGGCAATTTAGTCGATATATATATAGAAATCGACAACTTATAGGAGCCACAAGTGTCGCGGAAATCGTCTATGTTAAGCTTTTAAACGTTTATAGAAGTACAGTGTGCTATAGTAGATTATAATGATAATTTTTTAAGGTTTCTTATGGTTCATTAATCATTTATTATAATTTTTTGCATTTCTTATTTTTTTATGTGATATATTTTAATATAGTTATAAAATTCGTAAACATAATTAAATATAGCATAATTTTGAAAGCATAAGATTTTTATAATCTTTAACTCTCAGCAAGCACACGTCTTCCAGAATCTCGTCATATAAAAAAAAAACGAATTTTTTAAATTGTGGATAAAATTTCGTTGTAAAACTCAACAAGACATTTGCTGAGAATTAAAGTATCGGCATTAGAAAATTTGTATAGAATCGAATATTAAGTTACGCAGCTACAATGATGAACACGGTATAGATACGTACCACGGTGATAAAATTTGTTTGACAATTGATAGAAACGTCACTTCACTCTGGTACACTGTCTTCAATGTATATGTATATCGATAAATACGCGTACAAATCACTCTTGCTCGATTAGCTTGTCCTCAGTTACATCTTCATATCGCGACGAGTCCTGACACGCGTATGTATCAGCTGCTCACAAGTATCACAAACGCCGAATCAAGTCAGCGCGTGTAATAGGAATTATGTCAGCCGTGTCCTCTGACAGTTTCGCTTTTGGAGCAGGTGTCACTTGAGAGACGGAAATAGAGACTCCGATAGCGAGGTATCGATACGACGACCGCTTGGTTACATTTTCCGTGGTGCGCGTATCTCAAACGTCTGAAGCGTCGTGACGCTCCGCGTCGCTTTTATAGACCCGGTCGGGAGACGCGCAGACGTGGATTGTAAAAGGGTGCGGGATACACGACGACGTCGGTTGTAGGACGAACGTAACGCCGCGTCGCACGCTTTTTTTAACAAGCACATTATGCGAATCGACGAGTCGCGTTGTTACGGTGAGACGGACACTTCGATAAATAGAGGAAGTTACCTGGGATGGGATACATCACAGAATTCTTCCACGTGTCAACATTGATCGATTATGTGCTATCCTTAGACATGAGTTGCCATATTAATGTTTAGATAAAAAAAGATCTAATTATAGTTCTGTACGTTGATCAAATGTTCAGACAAAAAAGTTTCTATCTGTATGTACTCTATATGTTGATCAAATTATCAATTTAATCACGAAAAGATAATAAATAAATATTAATTATATGTACACAAATAGGATTTACAAAAAATTTAATTTGTATTATATGTATATAAATTTCTCTCTCTCTCTCTCTCTCTCTCTCTCTCTCTTTCTCTCTCTCTTTCGCCTCATTAATTTTCTATAACCAAATGTATTGCTTGTAGGAGTTCGATAATAGCTCATTCTTAAGATTTAGGAGCAAGGACTCGATAATTATTCACGAATAATAAGAATTCTTGCGAATTAAAGCGATGCGCGAGATGTGGTAGCAGAACCTTATAGATACAATTATAAATTGTTTGACACAGCAAAATAAATCTAAAAAACGACCAATAAACGAGCAAATTAAAATATTAAATTAACAATAGGATAACTTCGGTATATATGCCGCAAAAACTTAATTTATTAAATATTATTTACTATGTTTAAAGTAAACTATATCAGTAAAAACTTTGTCTACTACTATGAAAAAAATATTAGAAATCCGAAATATTTATTTTCCGTATTAAAAAATTAACTTTTTAAAACCCTTGCATTTTTGCTGTATATCCCATAAGGGTGGGATATATGGCTACTCATAGAGAGAGGGGGAGATATGTATGGCTCATAAAAAATTTATAAAGAATGTATATAAATAAGACGTAAAATAACGCAATAATTTATAAAATGCTTTTATTAAGGAATAAGAATGATAAATATGTATATGAAGTGATAAATAATAATTACAATCTTTCTCTCTTCCTACATATAGTACAAATGTTGTGATATGAGATACATGTTTCATGTAATGCGTTCATTGCATTTAGTGCACTGAATTTAATCTTTACGCATTTTGTTTTGGGCATAAATCCCATCCGCTAAAAATGCCGCATATTCCAAACAGGTGGGATATACAAGACAACAAACTAAACAAAGAATACGAAAGCAAAGCACTTGTATTTTGCTATACAACATGCTTTATTATTCCTCTACACGTATGTATCATGAAATAACCATTTAAGTCTTTTACACGTCCTACAGTAATCATTTTATGTAGATTATAATATATCATGGCGCTACTCATTACAGTGACAAATCGATTTAACTCACAATAATTTCATTAATATTAACAGTGAAAAGATGAAGTCATAATTCAATGCTAATCTAACATGAAGACGTAATCCCTTCTTCTGCGACGTAAATCCTAGCGCGGCGTATTTGCCAGAGTTACCCTATTTGAATTCAGCGACAATAAACTTTAGAGATACAGAAATATATAGAAATTAGGGAACGACGTATAACATTTTTTTCTTACTGATTAATAGGGAGAGAATATCCGTTTTTTATTCTTTTAAGTCTTTATTGTCTGCCTGGCTGTGAATCTTGCAAGCATAAAGCCATTTTGGTATCAGTCGAATTTGCAAAGTATATTTTTGTATCTGCACGAATGGATTATTGATACGAACCGACTTAAAGTGAATTTATTGACTTTCCGCCGCCAGTTTAATATTCCAGCTTCCATGAATATAAAGCCAAATAAGAGAGGCACGTGATCGACTCCTGCACTTTTAATGATTTATAATTTATTATTGTAATTGTATTCTCTTGTATGCATTTATTGTATGCATTACAATGTAATTTTAGAAAGTTTTAATTGTTTCTATTTATATCTAAATGTAAAATAATTGAAATGTCCCGGATTTATTACAAATTTCATATCTGCCTCTTGCGGATATGTTTCAATCGATATCAGTTGTTTTAAATTCATCACGTTGTTAAATAATACAGATTACGCATTCGTCGCATATCCAAATTTACACCTGAAAGTATTTTTAAAATGTATGTCAAGTATACGGAGAGTCCATAGAGATGTTCAACTGTACAGCCGGATATTAAAGATATAAATAGGAAAAACGGGCAATGGAAATAAAAAATTATTACAAGTTATTGTGTAATCATGGCGAGTCATCGGCTCATGTCCCCTAATTCGTAAATCACGCGAAAGATTTTGACATCAGCAAATTTCGAGAATCAGAACCTAGGATGCACGGAAATATATCGGCGTCATCAAACTTGTACATCTGCGTATATACATATGTATCCAATAATGAGTACAAATCCTCTGGGACAGCAAGCAGAATAACAGAGTTGATTTATAGATATGGAAATCCCGAGATAATCTAACTTTTATTAGCAACAAGAAGTACTCGTAAGCCTGTAAATGTCTGACGTAATCGGTGGATCTTGCTTCGCGGTAGCGTCTTCTTTAACTATAATTAGATTTTCGCGGATGTGACTATTGTCTATTTTGTGAAGCAACTGGTTAATCGTGCAACACTAATCTCGTGCGCTTGCCAAGCAGCCACTGAACTTTAAGAACATTTATCATTTGCAGAAGAGACTTCTTCCACAATTATACTTTCGCGAGTACAAATTTTGTCATTTGATGATACTTGGAAGTTTGCAGGAAAGGTACTAAAATAATCACATCCAGCTTCATACATCTTACTATAAATCCAGCTTAAGCTATTCTCGGTAAAAATCTATTTTATGTCAACGTTGGGTAAACAATGGTACATATACGAGACACCGCCATTAAGGCAGATGTAGCGAGGAGTTCTTCGAATGCTGAATATTGACTAGAAAGCGAATCAGGACAGAGGATGAAAAGAGAATAAAAAACGAGAGGGAAGGAGAGAAAAGAAGAAAAGTATATAAGGGAAAAGTTGTGTCGAAGAGAATTTACCTTCGATACGAGTCTGTGAATATAGTCCACCTACGCGAAAACAAATATACAGATACACATATCGATGTCGCCCACATGTGGATTCGCGAGATGAGAGCAATTCAGATTGTCGCGTACACGTATACAATAATGACGCAATTTACGAGTAAAAAGAGCCGCGCAAGAAGAAGAACAAGAGCTCTCGAGAACTCTCTGCCACTGGCGACCGAATTGAGAGTAGGTATATAATTATCGAGTCAATGGTTTCGCGGAACGCTGTTGACGAAATGTCTATATTGGAGAACCACGAGATTTTCATCGCAAACTGGCGTATTCGGATTTTGAGATCTTCTTTATACCTGCGTATATTTTCTTATATTTCTTGTTTTATCTTCTAGCTGAATTTGATATCGATTTCTCTTAAAATGAAATTTTCACGGAATATTATAAATTATAATATATAAATTGATATGACTCTACGCTAAAAGATTAAGGGATCATCTATTCTGCCCTTTAAAAATAAATAATTTTCAAAAGAGTGCAACTTTGTTAACAATAATCATAAGCAAAAGACATTTTAAAGCCTGAAGTCTCTACTTTCCAGATCGGTACTTTAAATAATGGTCTGATTTTTCAGAGCTACACGGATACAATGGAGATGTGTCTTGGATCCGTTAAATCTCTCGAAATTTTTTATGCAAAGTTAAAATGACGTGAATTAAAAACACAAATGCAATTTTTGAAAGAGTAAATTTTTATTTTTAATTTAAGGATTGTTGTGCAATTTTTTTTTTACTGAGTTATTTTACATTAAAGAAAATGGAAATAGACGAATGGAACAGCGCTCAATATTTATTAAAAAACAAATAGAAAAGTCTAAATTTTCTCTTTAATCTACATTTATCATGTATATATATTGTTTTAGAATCCTTTTAAATCATTCCATGATTATGATTATCTTTGAAATAATCATAAATTGATAAATGATTGGAATTGAACTATTTTAGAAAGGTATAATAGATGATTTTAATTTTTTAGAACAGTGTAGTTTAGTATATTTAATAAAGAGCTTTAGTATAAACAGTTTCCTGCTTTATAAAGTATATTATGACTTCTGACGCTGGATTTTGGCGATTACCAGATTACTTTCTTTATACTATTACAACTGAAGATTCTAAGAGATTTTGTAACAATGAAATTTTAAGAGATTTCTGCTAACTCAGAAAGTTGATTTAACTTTGGCTTGGTTTAATAGGATGGGCTTAAAGACGCTTTTATTTTTGCCGCTATTTTCACGGACATTAATCATTGCAGCTGTAATAAACAAAAATATATACATGACACACATCGCGTCACTATTGAGAAAAAATTGCAATTCTGCGAAAGTACTATACTTTGATATCAAACTTTTCTCTTTCTAGAATCTTTGATTTTTCTTTTTGCTTTTTCAGCTTATTCATCTTTTTCATTTATATTTATCGACAAGTTTAATTGTAACTTTGACAACTAATTAGACTTATTTTTTATTAAGCTATTTTGTAATTTATTTTTCGAGCAAATAGAACATTACGATTAAACATCGTGGCAAGAAAAAAATAATAGAAATAAATAATAGAAAAAGCAAAGAGTTTTATTCTTACCGCAAAGATATAGAAAATAGGAAAATACTTTATTTATTTTATAATTCTGATTAACTTTATTTCCATATGGTATATATAGTATTTTTGTCTTAAAATGTCAGTGGTATCCAATTGATAATCTTGGTTGTGTATAAGAGGATCCCGTTCTATGAGATTGAGATAAACTCGTGTAGGACTCAGTACTTCCTTAATTGCGCAGTAACTGTTTTACATTTGCGGCGAATGACAAACGGTGCCGGAGATTATCGTTCGAAGGAAAGAAGCAAACATACGGTTCATGTTGCTTACTTACCTTAACATCGCAACGTGCGTCAAACTGCCTATTTTTAGACTTCTCTGTTTTCAGTTAGAACGTTAAGAAAAAAGCACGGCAGCGCATGAAGCAGGTGTCGAAACGCTACGAATAGTAACAACACGATAAAGAGGCGACGATGACTAATTTAAGAAATTCGCGATGCATGCATTATTTTAATGCATCCAATCAAATACGCTATACATGCGTTTGTTTCAAGGATCATTTATGAACCATTTATATATAAGGAGTACCCTCAAATTTATGTTTATGCTTCATATGCTAATAGTACATGTTATAAGTTTATTCGGAAGTATTTGTCTTAAGTAAAAATATCAACAAAATCAAAAGCTTTCCAGTTATGAGTAATTAGAAATAAAAAGCGAAATTTGATGGTTGTTAATAAAATTCAATACATATTGGATCAATAACATACATTATACAAATCTTCCAACAGAATTAGATCACGCAGTACATTAGATCACATGTTTAAATTGGAAAAGTATATTAGAAATAGAATTTTAATTTGTATAAATTGTATAGTATACTAATATATTTATAACTTGTACCATGAAATAAAAAAACGCATTGGATGGGATTTCCTCTCATCATCATTTGGTAATGATATGATTTGATTGATTGACATGATCAAAATGGCTTCGTGAAATATTTAACGAAATATTTATATCCATGAGAGTCGTGTATGTGTCATTCGTTGGAGATCATCAAATATTCCAATAAATTGTTTTAAGATTTCTTTTTTCTCCTTTATTAATTCATAAAATTCTTTGAATAAAATTCATAAAATCTTTTACGATTACAATAATTACATTACATATAATTTATTTTAAGCATTATATAATTTCTCTTAATTAATCGCGCCGAAATATCTAAACGTTATTTTAAATATTATTTTCCGATTTGATTGTATTGTTAAAAATCGTGCAAGAAATAATAACATTTTCTAAACTCAAATAGTTCAAATAACATTAGGTACACAATTATAATAGTTAATACATAATAAATAACAAAAAAATAAAATTAATTTAAATAAGAGATAAAATATGCATACATAAATAAACAAATTTCTTAATTATAATTGTAATAATATAAAATAGAACTTTGACTTTTGTTAAAATAGAATTTTGATTTTAACTTGTGTAATTTCCTCTAACATTTTCAATATTCTTTGTAATAGAATGTTAGAAGAACATGTACACAAAATTGAAATCATATATCATTCTAATTCGTTTCAATACATAATTAATCTTCTGTTTCACTCGCAGTCTCAGTTTCACTGCTGTTTTCACTACTCCCACTAGAACTCGAAAAAACACTTGAATATTCGCTCGTATCGTAACATAAACAGGAGGAACTGCAATCACACGAACAAGACGAGGAATATGATGAAGATGAAAACGTTGAGAATGACGAGCATGATGGCTCTTTAATAAAATCCAACGACTCATTGCTTTCTGAAAGAAAGAAAAGAAAACAAGAGATCAGTTCCGGAAATATTGTATTGTATTTAGGACACGAGTGCGTACTCTCGCGTGCGAATTCTCAGTAAAATTTATCAAACTGTCCAACACGAGAAGTGAATTTTTAGTGAAGTCTTAAGTGTGACGACGAGGATTAATTGCCTCGCGCACATAATATTTAACGTCGTGACAAAATTCGATGAATTTTTTGAAAACAAAGAATTTTTTTAAATGACATGCATTTAATAACAGATTTTACCTAAATCATTTTTAATGCACTCCATTTTTCTCTTGACGACTGTTATATGTCGGCTAAGACCTTCGATAGCTTTCGCTGCTTTTTGACTTTTTTTACGTTGTTTCTTCTTTTCATAATCTTCTTTTGCTTTCAACGAACACTGATTATCAGAACATTTTGCGGAATTTTCTAGAAAATAATTATTATTTGATGCAAATTTATTGAAAATAACTTTTGTCGATAGACTATGTGCGTAAATATATATATATATATATATATATATATATCTTGGATAGTCCTCTTACTTTCGCATTGACATTTTGTGTTTTTTATTTGCGGCGACTTAAGGGATGTACGTAACTGGGCGCTTCCTTGCAACTTGTTCTCGGGATTTTCTTTCTTTAGATTCTTTCCATTCAATTTAGTGCTTTTATCTAGAAAATATATACAATTAATTATTAAAGCAAGTTCAAAATTTCCGCAATTGATTTCTACTACTTCACATTTGTTCTCCATTTCGCTAAGAAGTGTCGCAAAAATTAAAAATGTAATTATTAGTGCAGCAGTTAAAAAGAAAAGATATGTCTTTTAAACATTTTTTTATGCTTACCTTTCACTTTTTTATTCTCTTTATTTTTCGACGAATTTTGATTCACTTTATTGCACTCCAAATTATTTTTTAAATTTACATTCTTTTTTTCTTTTTCAAGCATATTTGCGCTATCTGGAAAATAATGTATTGTATTTTTATTATCAAGAATACTTATCCAAGATGTATGTAAAAGTTATGAGAAATATAATCAACGTTTTATATACTTTTGGCTTGCTCTTTCGTGGTCTTCGATTTTTTCTGTATTTTTTTGCGTTGAACATTTTTCTCTGATTTATTTTCTGAATTTTCTGTTTTTGATTTATTTTCTACCTTTAATTCTTCCTTTGTCACCTTCTTTTTTCTTATTTTAGATGCTTCTTTTTTAGAAGTGCTTGTTTGCAGATTTTTTTCAGTGATATTTGCTTTGTCTTGCACGATTTTTTTAATTTTTTTATTTGAATTAGCATTCTTCTTGGCGGTAGCTTTAGAAGATTTTTTAGTTTCTTCTTTTACATTATCGGTATTACGTGAGAGTTTCTGCGGAATTATTTTCTCCAAATTATTTTCCAACTTTACATTTGGTGTTTTCTCTTCTTTAAGGATATTTGTGCTACCTGAAAAATAATGTATTTTTGTTATCAAAAATAATCACTCAAATATGTAAAAATTGTGAGAAATATAATCAATGTTTTATTTACTTTTGGCTTGCTCTTTCGTGTTCTTCGATTTTTTCTCTATCTCTTTGCATTGAATATTTTTCTCTGATTTATTTTTCGAATTTTCCGTTTTTGGTTTTTTATTTTCTGCTGTTGATTCTTTCTTTTTTACCGTCTTTTCTACTTTTTTAGGAGTACTTGTATACAGATTTTCTTCTGTTATATTCGTTATGTCCTGCAAAATCTTTTTCTTAGTCATTTTTTTATTTGAATCGACATTTTCCTTGACGTTGGCTTCTGAAATGTTTTGGATTTCTTTTTTTACATCAGTATCAGATGAGAGTTTTTGCGAAATCATTTCCATCTCGCATCGACTTTGCCTCTTTAACATTTTGTTATTTACTACAGTATTTGTTTCAACGATGTTGCTGTTAGTACTTGATGAAATCCCAGGTAAATCCTTTATTGGAGACTTCGTTGAGCCTTTTGTAGATCTCGGAGTTTTCTTCGCAGGAGTATCGCCTATTCATTTATTTTAATTAACTTTATCTTATTTGTTACTTATTTTAATTAAATGTATATCTTTTGATTATATTATTATAAAGGAAGATGTTATCTCTAACGGATTTTTATAATTATTCTTATTTTATATATATTACAAAACATTCTAAATACTTATAATTATACTATTATAATTATACTATTAGATTAGGAGAAAATTGATTTAAAAAATGAAAAATGATTAAATAAATGAAAAATGATTTATAATGAGAAATCGAACAAATTTTTAAAAATAATAATGGATTTTTATAAAATCTTGCTTTTTTTTACCTTTAATAAGCTTTAAGAATCCTTCTTTAGCTTCAATGGTGTTGTTTTGTGTAATTGTTTCGATGAAATTATCTAGCATAGTCTGAACACAACCAGCCTCGCTATTTTTAAATTTTTCAATATTTTTCCAAGGTTCGGATTGTAAAACATGGTCAATATCAAGTGAACCATCTCCACCGATGAATGACAATGCCGATCTTCTTCGCATATCTTTATTGTTATAACTTTTTGTATCATGACTCATATTTGGCGATATTATTCTATTAAGAAATATTATAAGCGTCAAAATCATATAACTATATTATAATATAATTGAGAAGCAATACGTATTTTGTATTATAGAAAGTCTTTCTATAATTATAATTCTGATATATTATTATCTTATTGGTGCAGAATTTAAAATAAAATTGTATACTAATTTGTATTTATAATATTAACAGAGAGAAGTGAAAATCACATATAATACAACTTACATGAATCGCAAAGATTTTTCTTTTGTTTCGTTCCGAGATTTATTTTCTTGCAACTTGTTTGAACAGTAAACCGCTGCTTCACTGTCTAGAATATAATTTTAATCTTGATATTTTTAGGGAAATTGCAAAATAGCTAAACTATTTCAATTTTCTACTAAAATATTAAGTATAAGTGAAATAAAATATTATATATACATGCTATTTAAATAATAATGTGAAAAGCAATTTTAACAAGAATTATGAAAAACGTGTAACGTTGAGGAAAGACATTTCAGAACTATTTGAATTGTGTTTATATAGATTTTCACCTTCTCAGAAATTCTTGCCGAAGGTCGGCATTTTTCCTTTGTACCTATGCTATTATTTATTTTCTGCTTGACATATAAATAATAAAAATAATGTTTCTAGAACATATATAAAGAGTATACATAAAAATTATCTTTGCTCTCTAAGAATCTTATATAATAATTATAGTAGTTACACAACATATCGATACATTTGAGTACCTATTTATTATTTAATAATATTAAATAGATACTAAACCTATTAAAATAATTTTATATATAATAAATAATCTCATGATATAATATAATAATATAATATAATATTTTACGGGAGAAATTATATTAATCTTTTTATGAAAGAATCTCTTAACTTCAATCATATCGTCTCATACAAGATGATTATAATAGTTAATGAAATTATATGAAACGTAACATAAGTGAATTCGATATATTTTATTTGCGTCATGATCCCTGTTTTTACGTTGCAATTTCTTTATAACGTAATTTTCCTATGTTGCTATTACGATATGGCATTGTACAGGCACGCGTAGGTTTGGAGAACGTCAGAAAAACCATTATCGAGCGTGCTCTCTTGACGGAATAGAATAGAATTCAATGACGTCATCATGCTCGCGCACCTTACACTATATAGCTAGACCTATAATATGTCGATCGAGTGGAATAGGGCTTCATGACGTCATTACGACCTTTGATGAGCTCACTTGGTTGCAAGTGATGTCACAGGGTACTCCCTCGTCACATCGACCGTAGCGTCATTCACTGTGCTGTAGCTTTATCCGTTTTAAGTATCGAGGGAAATGAAGCAGGTAGAGAAAGCTGACACCTTTTATGAGGTAGAGATAATTTTCTCGACTATAAAGTGTTTATTTAAAAAAACGGATAAGCTCGGTCGTTATACTCCGATGGGACACTTTCTGTTTTCTTTTAGTTATTAATATCCGTTAGAGAGTAAAGATATTGGTCTATAGGATAAAGGCATTGATTAACTGTATCTCAGTTTTAAACAATATTTATCTTGTTTGCATAAAATGAAAAAGTAAGTATTCAGTTGAAACTTAGATGACATAAATCATTCCGTTCATATAATCGAGGATTGAAGCTATGAATTGTGTCATTATAAAAATAGACTTTATAAAATAACAAAAGTAATTTTAAAAAAAGATCCAACATCCTCGTTGAGGATTTTTTAGGATATCTGATATTGTTAAAAAAATCTTTAATGTAAATAGCAATAGTAGAGGAATATAACGTTGCAGTAATTTCGAGTCACCAAGTAATTTTGCGAATCGTGACGTGCGTACATTGACTGTTGGATAAAACCCATTGGATAATTTTCAATAAATGTCACCTTAGATTACTATAAAATTCACTCTCATCTTGGAAGATAATATTTATGTACGCGAAACTCAGCGCGCCAATTGGTACCAATCAGTGCGTTTCAACAATTTTGTGAAATTGTTTCTTTATCATACAAAAGACTGATTTAATAGTGTTTTAGATTTAAGGTTTTAAAGTTTAAGAGTGATTATTAACGATAGCAATTAGTAAGAGTTTTAACTTCAAACAATGTTAATGATGTTGTTTATTTCGCTCCATGAAAAAAAAATATTTTTTTATAAATGAAAATTAATATTTCCTTTTTTCTTGACTTTATATTTTTTTCACAGAACAGTGTTTGCGGATACGTCATACGTCAATTTAGCGCTATTTGATTATTCCTATTAGATAATTTCCGGGAATGAAATTTCGAGAGTAATTTGAAGATATTAGATTTTATATATTTTAGTCCACTAAATAATTAAATTTGTAAAAGAGAAGGAACACATCATTTTCATGTGTTTGCGTTGATCTAAATTTGTCAAAAGTTTAGGGGAATAAGATTGACTCTTCTTTCTATAATAATTATAATCATGTTAACAAAGCTAATTCAGTGAATGTTCTGCAATTAAAGTAATTATTGGATATTGTATGTTCAGAATATTATTACGCGTTGCTAGACGGATTTACATTTATAATCCATGCATATGTTTTATTACAACGAATGTTGGAACAACGAATTTTCCAAGACAGGTGGTATATCGCATTGCCCAGACGTTAACAATGTTCAATCCAAGGAACATCGATTTCTGTCCGAAAATTCAAGGCTTTTCATATCGTTGGCGTCGCGCTTTGGCTTATTTTTGCTCTCGCGAAAACATGGAATTATATAGGTAGATTGATTTTACAAACAACCCATATGTGAAAGATCATCTGAAGATTCTAAAGCTTTGCAAATAATAATAGCAATCACAATTGTTTGATCGTGATAACAATGAAACCAATTTTTAAATATTCGATTATGATTAATCTGTCTATAGAAATATAATGTAAGAAAGATCTTTCAAAACATTAATATATGCAAAAAGATATGTCTTATGTGTAGCCGATGCTACACTAAAAAATATTAGATATATTTCACCTAATGTTATATAAAAAAAAATTTTAGTTTTTTACGATTAAAACTTGTAGATAATTTTTTATAATCATCTTTCTACGTTAAAAAAAAATCTGAAAGAACTAGAAATCTACGCCATTGCAAATAGAAGCGGAGGTTGACGGTTGTTGAGACAACTTTAGTAGAAAGAAAAGAAAAAATAATTCAAAAAGAAATTTTGCCTCTGGGGATTGCCATCGTTTGACTCACGAAAATAAAACGTCGATTCATTGCGGTAAGACCGGTGCTCACACGCATGTACACGTATACTCATATAAAAGTGTCATCGTGGCAGCCTCGCGGATAGTTGGGCGCTGCGCATCGAGCGAACATGATCGAGGTAAGAGGAAATCAGAAATGCTGTGACAAGAAATATTAAAAAAAAAAAAACGCGTAACGTGTTTTCCGTGATAGTGACGCATAATTCACATATCAGCTGATTAATCGCGTCATTCTTCGAAAAAAGTGAAAATTTCCTCGTCAAAATTCCCATGTCTTAACTTTCCTTGGATCGAATGTGAAATTTGACGAAATGGGTTATTCATGCAATGGGAGTTATGCAAGATTTATAATATAAAA